GGCCGAACCCGAAGCCATCGGGGTGAGGTCTCCGATGGGGATATTCGTGTCGTCTTGTCCACGTTCTGGTGTTGAGATCTTGAACTGCCATGTCGTGTGGGGTTTCTCGTGCTTCGACGTTTGGCTCCCCAGGTCCATTGGTTCGTCGGGTGACCAAACTTTCGTGTGTGACCTCGACCTTTTTCTGGGGGTCGGATGCTCCAGTGCTGTAGAGTCTCTTCTTCCGCTCATCGATCGGCACCCAGCACAGCTCGGGGACGGGGCCAGCGCCGGTAGGGATGCGTCGCCTGGCTGATGCTGTGGCTTCGGTGTATCGTCAAAAACGACGGCGACATTGTCGTCTGGTGTCTTCGTCGGTGTCGGCCTTGCTGTGCCGTCGTGGTCGGTTCCTTCAGTGGTTTGCGGAGTTGTGGGGTCGCTCATTGCTGTTTTTCCCTGGTCTGTGCACATGTTGTAGAACATCTCGGCATTCTCCAGTGAGTTCTTGAACGTCTGCTCCCTCTGCATTGTCTCCTGGTGCTCGTTGTGGTTGCTGTTGTCGCTGTTGGCTTCCCCCCGTATGTCTTCCTCCTTTATGGTGACCCGCATGTTCCATACCATCTATTGCCCTTTCGCCTGGTCGATCTGCATCTTGGTTGCTGCAAGTGCCTGTTGATCGTGATGTGTCTGGTGTTCTGCCAATTTTGGAAGGCGCAACATGCTGTTGTTCTTCTTCGGGGGCATCTCTCCTATGCGTGCTCCTCTTAGGTTATGTGCTCATGTCGTAGTCGTTGTGTATTTTCTTGTGCCTCCGCGTGAGCCTTCTTCTGCTTCTGTATCTCCATGTGCTCAACTGGGATGGCCTCATTGGCTGCATTAGTCATCGCCCTGCCCTCGCTGATGGTGAGCTGGGTCTTGGTTTCCTCTTGCTGAAATCAGGTGACCTGGCTCTCCTCGAAGTCCTTGGCTCTGGGTTCTTGTTGTCGTGCTTGTTGCGCTTATTGTGCTGGAGCTACTTCTGCAGGTAGGTCTCTTGCTTGGGGTAGTCAAATTCGCTCTTGTGTTCCTGTTCCTGTCGTTCCGTCTGCTGGTTGCCGGCGTGGAGCATACGTTCGCATCTGGACTCGGCTGTCTGTAGCTCTAGTCGAAGGTTCGTGATGGTGTCCTCGCTCTTCTGTCTCTTGGCCTTGTCGTTAGCGGCGTAGTGCTCTGCGATGTAGTTCCTTTGTTTCAGTGCCTTCTGGACTTCGTCGGTCAGGTACTTTCATTTTTCCCCGTTGGACATGTGCGGATTCGCTGTCCCGAGTTCGTCCCTGAGCGCAGCCTCCCTCCTGCTCGGCGCTTCAGTCCTCGTGTTTTTTTGATTTGGTTATGTATTTGACTTGAAGTGTGTTTCTCTGTTTCCTCGTCCTCCTCCTTGGTCGAGTGGATTTTGTTGTCGCTGTTGGCCTTCAGGTCTCTAACGGTCTGTAGTCGTTGCTGCCGATCGTAATTGAGGGTGTCTATTTCCTTGCGGTACTCGCTGTTGTTCTCCTTGTTGGCTACGTCACTCTCGTATTTGCCCTGTATGCTTTCCCTTTGGCATCTGTAGGCCTTTACCTCGCCCCTATAGTGTGCCGTCGCTGGTTCTTTTTCTGTGGAGCTTTTCGTTGAGGATATCGTAGCGGTCAGTGGCGGTCTGACTTGCAGAACGTATCCACTGTGTCGTCGACTTCGATGTTGGGTGGCGCTTCTTGGCGGTTTGTGGTCTTCGTGCTCGTCGTCCGCTCCCGACTCCTCGTCTTCCCCAATTCTGTCGTTCTTTCTTTGTGTGTACCCGTCGAACTCGGGAATGGTCTCGGCGATGTCTTTGTTCATCTGGGTGAGGTATTTCTGCACGTTGTTCCTTGCATCCTTGAACGTCTTCCTGTAATTATCGAGGCCCTTGAGCTAGTCTCTGATGGGGGAACTGTTATGGATCATGGCTGTTGTGAGTGCGATCATGTTGAATGGGTCCTCTATGGTGAGTTTGGCGTGGTTGTTCCTGAGTGGACTAGCGCGTAGGATTTGAGCATCCGGAGGTTGTTGTTACTCCACGTAGTGCGAATCAGTGAGGATCTTGGCGGTTCCTCCCATTGGAGGTGGTCAGTCGCGTTCCTCTTCCTCATGAAGAAGACGTCTGGGATGATGGTGTCGATGATGGCGTTGTGCTGTGCGGTCGTCTTCTTGTTGTCGTCCCGGCTGTCATCCTCCTTCTCATGCTTGGTGATATGGCTCTTGTACTTCTGAGTGCTCTTGTTTTTCTTCAAGTTCCAGTAGGGGTGTTCCTTTTTCCCTTTGGCCAGTTCTGCGCCGACTGCTGGTTTGGGTCGTGCAGCTGGCTTCGGTGACGGTTGTGATCGTGGTTGCCATTTGTTTTTTGCGCCATGGTGGCTGACCAACGTCGCCGTGGTTGCTGGGCGCTGTGGTGAGCGCTGAGGAGGTCCCATGCGCTGGCGATGCGCAACCCGACTCGCGCGTTGGCACGCGCCCTCCGCAGCCGCCTTTGCCAGGCGGGGCTGCGGGATCGGTAGGTCCTGGATGACGTTGTTGGCGTGGGGCCTAGTGCGCCGCGAGAACAACAGAGCTTGATGTGGATGTGGCAGTGCGTTCTCGCGGGCGCGGGCACCGCCGCGCTGGCCGCCGTCGCGAATCCTGAGGTCCTGTCCCTCGGGGGGAGGGTTCGGGCGCACGCGGCTCCTCCTCCTCCTCCTCCTCCTCCTCCTCCTCCTCCGCCTCCTCCTCCTCCTCCTCCGCCTCTGCCTCCTCCTCCTCCATTGCGGATGCGGCCCCCAGGAAGGTACGAGCACACTCGGGGTCTACGCGTGGCCGCGTCCGGCTGGCCCAGCGAGGACGCACCCGGCGCCAGCTCGTGTCCCCCCTCCAAGGGCCCCACGGCGCAGGGGACGCGGGAGGGTGCCGTCCCCGAGTGGGGAGCGTGGGGCCTAAGGGGTGAGGAACGGAAGGCCCGACCCCGGGGTCGGTACAGTCGCGAAACCGATGATAGAGATGGGTCATTTTCCCCAGGGTGCCCTTGCATCCTTGCCTCTTCGGTCCATCCTTGGCCACTTTCGATGGCCAACCCCGCTCGGAGAGCCTCGACATGGGCATACAAGGGACTTGCATCCTTACCGCGCATCGTTAATAGTTGTTTTGACTGCATAAGCTCCCGACCCTGGCGCGGACGCGGCAGGAGTCGAAGTCCTGGCCTTGAAGCGCTCCTTTTGGTGCGGAGGGGAGAGGTGGAAGCGCTCGGAGCCCGCCCCCCACTCCCATGCGCCTGCGCGTGCCCGTGCGCCATGGCCGATGGTTCGAGTCGGGATCGTCTACAGATCTGATGTGCGCCAAACTTGTTTTTTTCGCCGAATCTACGAAGGATGCGTAGACTTTTCGCAGGCATGCGAGCCTTCTGTGCATTCTGTTCGTAGATTCGGCGATCAACCACGAATTCTGGGGTAGATCAATTCTGTAGTCGATCTCCTGCCCGACTGGTTCCACGGAGGCGGGAGGCTTCGGCACCACGGCTTTGCCTCCCCCGCGAGCCAAGGTTCAGGTTCGATGGTGCGGGCTCGCCTGCTGCAGGTGGGCCCCGCCGTCGGCCTGGGCCCGCTCGGAGGATGCGGCGTGCGCGCGTTCGTGGGGCCGATGGCGCTGCGCTGGTGGCCCAGAACAAGAACTTGGCATCTCTCGGACGTGTGCACTTTTTCCTCGGCGGAGATTCTTAAGGAGCATCCTGCATCATCCTGCGGAAAAGCCACGCGCGAGACCGAACAAAGCACAGGGAATGGACGTCCGAGCGACGGGGAGAGAAGCACCCGCGAGGCATGGCTTGTGGCGGCCCAGCGCGCTGCCTGCCCAGGCTCCGCCGACGGACGCGGCGCCGCAGCGGAGGCGAGGCAGCGCGAGGCAGCGCACCCGTCCTGCGCGGCGGGGAGCGTGTGGCTGCTGCTCTCGTCGCCTGCCCGCCTTGCCAATGCCTCGCTCTCCTGGGGCTCTGCTGTGTTCCTGCTCGTTAACATTCGTCACGTGTGCGGAGCTACACTGTCAATGCCGCGCTTTCCTGTGGCTTTGCTGTGTTCCTGTTCGCAACGCACACCGCCAGAGGCGGCGGAGAGCTTGAGAGATCCACCTACCAAAAGTGCTTCCCCTCTCTCCTCCCCGCCCGCCTGCCTCAGCACCGGCCGCCGCATCCCCTGAGATTCGGCACAGCGGAAACGTGGCAATATCGTAGAGAAGCACTGCCGCAGCCCTGGACCCCATCTGTCTGCGCCATTTCTCGAGCCAGGGCCCCAAACCGCGCGACAACACCCAGCCCGAAACCAGCCCGAAAAGATCGAGACGCCAGGATCTCAGGGTCTCCGGACCGCGTCCCTGACGGGACGATGGCGGGTAAGCGTTCGCGGCAGGGAAGGCCCCGCTAATTTGCGACTCCGTCACGCGAGGGGCGTGGTCCTACGCGGTCGCAAGGGGTCACCTGGGAGGTCTCTGCGTGCGCTATCTTTCGCCCGCGTGCGTGCCCCACAACGTACTCTGCAGTGCCTCCCCTCGCAAAAATGCGCGCTTTGTCCCTGGCGCATTCTCCTCCTCGTCGTCGTCGTCGTCCTCCTCCTCCTCCTCTGTCTTTTCCCTCCTGCTCTTGATCCTGCTCCCCCTCGCCCTCCTTCCTCTCCCACTCCGTGTCTCTCTCCTTATCCTTTCTCTTCCCCCTCCTCCTCCCCCTACACTTGTGCCTTCGCCTTATCCTTCTTCCTCTCCTCCTGCTGCTCCCACTCTTGACCCCTGGCATCTGCATTTCCCGTTCGCGCCCTCCCTCCCATCCCTAACCCTCCTCGTCCTCTTCTTCTTCTTCTTTCCCTCCTCTTCCCTGTGCTTGTTCCTCGTCCTCTCTCCTCCTCGTCCTCTCCTCTCCTCCTCGTTCCCGTCCTCCCCTCCTCGTCCTCCCTCCCTCCTCTCCCTCCCCCCCTCTTCCCTACGCTTGCCCCTCCTGCCTCTCGTCCTGTCAGGGCAGAGCTGGGCTCGGTCGGCTACGCCGTCGGCGGGGTGACGAGGCGCGCGCGGCGGTGGCGCGGCCGCTGCTGGCAGTTTGCTTTCTTCTGGTAGGTTGTCAGTTTTGTTTTTGTTGTTGTTGTTGTTGTTGTTGTTGTTGTTGTTGTTGTTGTTGTTGTTGTTGAACATTATTTATTCTAAAGAATAATTATTGTTGGGCCCCCTGGTGCGCGCCCCCCCTGCGCCGCCTAGGCCGCAGCTACATTTTCATCATTTTCGTGAGGAAGCCTCAGAAAAGAGGGTGTGTACAGGATCCGGTTGTTTTGTTGTAATCCGCTTTCCCTTGCAAAAAACAATAGAAAATGACATTTCTTGTTCTAATATAATCAAATTTCAAGAATCCCTTGCAAAAAATAAGGTAAAGTGGACATTCGCGCGCGCAAGACGAAATCCTTCCAAAACCTTAGTGTTCGCAGCGATTTTAACATAAAAACATCAAAAAACCAATGGTTTTTCAACAAAAAATTGTCAAAATCTCATCCCGCGCGCTCTTGCGGATTCGTAGGAAACCCAACACTTTTTAAACATTTCTGTCAAACGGGCTTTTGCGAGCAACTTTTTCGAACTTCTGCGACAACGGTTGCGCACCTGCCAGGGCCATCATCCCTGTCAAATAATACCATGCGGGACACATTCGTTTTTTCTTCGCGCGCGCACGCCGTCGTCGTCGGCCGCGGGGCCCTGAATAGTAGCCACGGTCGTCCGCATGCCACGAAGTGAAGTGTCCGAACGTCATAGGGCGGGAAGCTGGGTGTGGGTGGTGGCGAAGAGTCGTTTGGAAATTTGGTAGAGCTTGAACCGGCCCCCCCACAAAGTGGGGGTATTGCCCGCCTCCTATGAAAACCCTGGCACTGGTGAGAACGGAGTGTCCCCAGGTGCTAGTAATTGTTGTTGTTGTTGTTGTTGTTGTTGTTGTTGTTGTTGTTGTTGTTGTTGTTGTTGTTGTTGTTGTTGTTGTTGTTTTATGCTGTGTGTGTGTGTGTGTGTTCGTGTGTCACTTCCACCCCGGGGTCACTGCTGGCTGCTCCCCGCTATCGCTGCCCGTGCCCAGGTAGGCGCATGGCATGGTTGATCTCTTGTGGATCCCTGTCCCTTCTTCCGAGGGGCCAGCCGCGCGCGTCGCTACTTCTCTCCGGCTCACTTTCCTTGCCTCGTCGCCGCGCGCGACGCCGCGACTGCAAAACAGTGCGTGTCGCTGCGCCGTGCTTGTCAACCCCATCGCGGCCCGTCGCTGCCCGCGTCGGTGCGCCCCCGTGCGTTTCCCGCCGCGCCCCCTTCCCCGCGAGGCCGCCCTTGCAGTGGTCTTGCGCCCTCGCTCGCTCTCCCTCGTCGCCTGCACCCCCCGAAGGGCGGCCGCACGGCGCGGCTCCGAGGGTTGAGCCCTGTGGCTCCTCGCCGGGCTGCGTGGGTCCCCCCGCCGCTTCCCACAGGAGGAGAAGGCACCGATACGGCCACCCATTCCCTCGACTTCCCCTTTTTGGCCTCCTGGGAGGCCCTCGTCGCCACCGCTGGGTTCGCTTCGAAATCCTGGTCAGAGCGCAACTGGGAAGACGGGGAGCAGCGGTATCCGTACCTTTTGGTTTCCACATGTTCTGTGGTCTCGGCGACGTTTCGGGCGCCTCACCGACTGTCCAACTGCCTCCGCCGCGTCGCTGTGCGCGTGGCCGCGACGCCCAAAAGAGGTTCCCAGCGCAACCGTCCGCATGCGTCCCGCACACCCAGTACAGCGTTTCGTGGCCCCATAGGGAACTCCACCGAAGGTCCCAGTGCTACCGTCCGCATGCGTCCCGCACACCCAGTACAGCGTTTCGTGGCCCTCCTCCCCCTCCTCCCTGCGTTTCACCCATCCAGTACAGCGCTTCGTGGCCCCATAGGGAGCCCCACCGAAGGTCTCAGTGCTACTGCTGTCCGCATGTGTCCCGCGCACCCAGTACAGCGTTTCGCGGCCCCATGGGGAGCCCCACCGAAGGTCCCAGCGTTACCGTCCGCATTTGTCCCGCACACCCAGTACAGCGTTTCGTGGCCCTCCTCCCCCTCCTCCCTGCTTTTCACTCACCCAGTACAGCGCTTCGTGGCCCCATAGAGAGCCCCACCGAAGGCCCCAGTGCCCCCGTCCGCATGCGTCCCGGAAGCCCAATTTGGCATTTTCACCCACCCAGTGCAGCGTTTCGTGGCCCCATAAGGGGGCTCCACCCAAGGCCCCAGTGCCACCGTCCTTATGCGTCCGAGAAATGTAATTTGGCATTTTCACACGCGCAGTGCAGCGTTTCGTGGCCCCATAGGGGGCTCCACCGAAACCCCCAGTGGGACCGTCCGCATGCGTCCCGGTAACTCAATTTGGCATTTTCACTCTCTCAGTAGAGCGCTTCGTGGCCCCACAGGGAGCTCCACCGAAGCCCTCAGTGGGACCGTCCGCATGCGTCCCGACAGAACCCAATTCGGCACACCACCCGCACAGTACAGCGTTCCCCCCCGCCGAGTGCAGCGCTTCGTGGCCCCATAGGGAGCTTCACCGAAGCAGATATTCACAATTACGGTACCCACAACTACATATGGTTGGGACCTTCGCCAGGATAATTGGGATCCTCCTGTCCTCCCCACCCCGATTTGAAGGAGGAGGAGGAGCAGGAGGAGGAGGAGGAGGAGGAGGAGGAGGAGGAGGAGGAGGAAATGGGGATGGGGGAGGGAGAAGGGGAGGGGGAGGGGGAGAGGGGCAAGCTAGGTGCGCTCGCGTCATATCTGACGTCCTACCCCTCCCTCCCATCCCTTACCATGGCGCTGATTTTCTCTATCCGCGGACGCGTGTCGTAGCGGACCTGTGGCTCCGCGCGCGCGTGCGTAGTGGGTGGTGGTGCGCGTGCGTGCGTGCGTGCGTGTGTGCGTGGTTGTGGTGGTGCTGGTGCTGGTGCTGGTGCTGGTGCTGGTGCTGGTGCTGGTGCTGGTGCTGGTGCTGGTGCTGGTGCTGGTGCTTGTGCTGGTGCTGGTGCTGGTGCTGGTGCTGGTGCTGGTGCTGGTGCTGGTGCTGGTGCTGTGCTGGTGGTGGTGGTGGTGGTGGTGGTGGTGGTGCGGCGCGGTGGTGGCGGGCGGATGGGCGCGCGAGAAAGAGGCCCGCGCTGGGGCGAGAACGCCATCCTGAACGACGGAGGCCAAACACCGATCCGAAAATGAGGCCCACGCTGCAGCGGGAGCACGATTCGGAACGATTCGGGAGCAGAAATGAGGCCGGCGCCTCAGCGAGAGCAGCATTTTTGAAAAAACACAAGCGAAAACCCAACTCCGGGGAATCCTGTGTGTAAAAAAACAGTACGCGGGGGGGTGCCGAATATCTTCCGGACGCCATCAGGGGAAGTGGGAGAGTATTTTCATATTGTGTAATTGTAGAGGGGAGATGGGAGATGGAGGAGAGGGGAGAGGGGAGGGGGAGAGGGAGAGGGGAGGGGAGAGGAGAGGAGGAGGAGGAGGGGGGAGGAGAGGAGGAGGCGGAGGAGGAGGAGGAAAAGAGGAGGAGGAGAAGGAGGAGGAGCAGCAGGAGCAGCAGCAGCAGCAGAAGGAGCAGCAGCAGGAGGAGGAGGAGGAGGAGGAGGAGGAGGAGCAGCAGGAGCAGGAGGAGGAGGAAGAGGAGGAGCAGGGAGGAGGAGGAGGAGAAATAATAATACTCATAACCGTAACACTAAGAATCACAATAGTAATAAGAATGTTACTAACCATAAGAATAATCTTACTTATAAGAAGAAGAAGAAGAAACATACTAATGCTATTAATAATCCTAATGCGAGTGATGCTAATATCATTAATGGTATAGTAATACGCAGAAGAAGAAGATAAGGAGGAGGAGGAGGAGGAAGGGGACAGGGTAAGCCCAAGACTCATCAACGATGTTGGAAAAAACCTTCCCTCGAAGCTCCATCTGCATCGGCCCTACAGGGGTACACTTCGACTGAGGGAACTGCTTCGTCGGGAGACAACCGTTTGAAGACACTGAAGCGCGCCAAAACATTGTTCTCGGGCTTCCAGCGCCACGAATCAACTTGACTGTTGCGTCTTGACATCTTGAATCGTGCCAAAACACCGTTCTTGGGACTTCGATGCCGCACATCAGCGTAACAATTGCGCCCTCGCACTTCCGAGTCTCTACAAACACCATTTCTGGTTCGTTGACCAGGAGAAACCGTGAAGCGTTCACAACTCTTTGAGACGAGTGCGTTCGGCGCTAAGGCGAGGGCCACATTTTGAAAACGACCCGCCCTCAACCCGTGAATCTCCTTGGCATATGTTTAAGACGTTTGTGAGGCGCTAGGGCGGGAACCACATTTTGAAAACGACCCGCCGTCACCCCCGTGAAACTTGACAAGTTTGTTAACCGTACGTGCGGCGCTAAGGCGAGAGCCACATTAAACTTATCCTGGCGAAGGTCCCAACCATATGCAGTTGTGGGTACCATAGTTGTGCACATCTACTTCGGTGGAGCTCCCTATGGGGCCACGAAGCGCTGCAGTGGGCGGGGGGGGGGAACGCTGTACTGTGTGGGTGGTGTGCCGAATTGGGTCGGTGGAGCTCCCTATGGGCCACGAAGCGCTGTATTGGGTGTGCGGGACGCGTGCGGACGGTAGCGCTGGGAGCTTCAGTGGGGCTCCCTATGGGGCCACGAAGCGCTGTACTGGGTGTGCGGGGCGCATGCGGACGGTAGCACTGGGACCTTCGGTGGAGCTCCCTATGGGGCCACGAAGCGCTGTGCTGGACGGGTGAAACGCAGGGAGCAGGGGGAGGAGGGCCACGAAACGCTATACTTGGTGTGCGGGACGCATGCGGACGGTAGCGCTGGGACCTTCGGTGGAGCTCCCTATGGGGCCACGAAACGATGTATTGGGCGTGCGGGACGCATGCGGACGGTAGCACTGAGACCTTCGGTGGGGCTCCTTGTGGGGCCACGAAGCGCTGTACTGGGTGTGCGGGGCGCAGGGAGGAGGGGGAGGAGGGTGCGGGACGCATGCGGACGGTAGCACTGGGACCTTCGGTGGAGCTCCTTATGGGGCCACGAAGCGCTGTACTGGGTATGCGGGACGCATGCGGACGGTAGCACTGGGACCTTCGGTGGGGCTCCCTGTGGGGCCACGAAGCGTTGTACTGGGTGGGCGAAGCGCAGGGAGGACGGGGAGGGGGGCCACGAAGCGCTGTACTGGGTGTGCGGGACGCATGCGGACGGTAGCACTGGGACCTTCGGTGGAGCTCCCAATGGGGCCACGAAGCGTTGTTCTGGGTGTGCCACGCGGGACGCATGTGGACGATAGCACTGGGACCTTCGATGGGGCTCCCTATGGGGCCACGAAGCGCTGTACTGGGTGTGCGGGACGCATGCGGACGGTAGCACTGGGACCTTCGGTGGAGCTCCTTATGGGGCCACGAAGCGCTGTACTGGGTGTGCGGGACGCATGCGGACGGTAGAACTGGGACCTTTCGGTGGGGCTCCCTATGGGGCCACGAAGCGCTGTACTGTGTGCGTGGAACGCAGGGGGGAGGGGGAGGAGGGCCACGAAACGCTGTACTGGGTGTGCGGGACGCATGCGGACGGTAGCAATGGGACCTTCGGTGGAGCTCCCTATGGGGCCACGAAGCGCTGTACTGGGTGTGCGGGACGCATGCGGACGGTAGCACTGTGACCCTTCGGTGGGGCTCCCTATTGGGCCACGAAGCGTTGTACTGGGTGGGTGAAACGCAGGGAGGAGGGGGAGGAGGGCCTCGAAACGCTGTACTGGGTGTGTGGGACGCATGCGGACGGTAGCACTGGGACCTTCGGTGGAGCTCCCAATGGGGCCACGAAGCGCTGTACTGGGTGTGCGGGACGCATGCGGACGGTAGCACTGTGACCCTCGGTGGGGCTCCCTATGGGGCCACGAAACGCCGTACTGGGTGGGGATGGGAGGTGGGCCACGAAACGCTGTACTGGGTGTGCGGGACGCATGCGGACGGTGGAGAGGAGGAGGGGGCAGAGGAAGAGAGGAGAACGCGGGGACCGTCTCTTCAAAACGAGGACCCAACGCCACAGGATGGTTGGGAACAAATGACCCACCCTCAATCCGTGAAGCTCTTTCGGATTTGTAGGACGAGTGTGCGCGGCGCTCAGGCGAGAGCCACATTTTGGAAACCACTCGCATTCAATATGCGCAACTGCTGTCAATTTCTAAGCTTCAGGGATACAAGTGGTGAGGAAGTCTCAGGGGAAACGACCGGCCAGCCTTTTCGACCAGCCTCGGGTTGCGACAGGGAGGAGTATTTATAAGGAAGGGAATTGGGCAGGAGGAGGAGGAGGAGGAGGAGGAGGAGGAGGAGGAGGAGGGGGGCAGGGCGGGATCGACAAAAAGACGCGGCGTGCCAGCCGGCCTCCCCGCAGCCGGTTCCGCGGGAGCGACCAGGATATCCCCCCCGGGGTGGCCGACGCCTGTGCCCGCCCCCCATGCTCCCTCACTCTCCCTTCCTCCCTCCTGCCTCACTCCTCCCCCCCTCCCTCTTCTTCCCTTCTCCCTCCCCTTCCTCTTCTCCGCCTTCCTCTCTCCATCCTCCCGGGCCCGAGCGGGCCTTCGCGGACTCTTCTGGGCCTTCCTGGAGCTCCCAGGGGCCCCTGGCTCGGCGGATGGCGGAGGTGTTTCGTCGTGCGCCACCCCGCCGAGCCCCCACCCGCAGAGGTTGAGACCGTCTCGTCGCCCAATCCAAGCGTTGAACCAACCTCCTCCGCCCCTTCCCTCCTTTACACTTGTACAATCTGCGTACTAGTCTCCTGTCTCCCCCGAACACGTGCTGGGAACATCCTGAGAGTAGCCGCTCCCCCTCCGCGTATTGCTTCTGTATAGAAATGTGTTTCGTGGGCGAGCGTCTCTGATGTGACTTCTCAATTCGATCGGTTGTGTTCATTCCAAAACGGCGCTCCCGCTACATCGTCGCTGCTATTTCCGCGTGCCCGGTCCTTCCAAAATGGCGCCCCCGCTACAGCATTCGCCTCGTATCCGCGTTCGCTGTCCTTCTTGATGGTAGTCCCGCCGTCGCATTGATCGCAGTCTGCATGTTCTGGCCCTTCAGAGTAGTTGGTCTCGCTGTGCCGATCCGCCGCAGCCTTGGCCTCGTTTCCACCGCTGTCGCCACTGCCGCCGTCTTCGTCGTCGCCCTCGTCATCCCCTCCGTCCTCGTCGTCGATGTTTACCTTTTCCTCCTTCTCCTCCCCCTCCCCCTCCTGCTCCCTACCTCCTCGTCCTCCTCATTCCTCTCATCCTTTGTTTCCAACCTGCTCCTCTTTCCTCGTTCGCCCCCTCCTCGTCCTCCTTCTCCTCCGGTCCGCTCATCGTCGTGACTCCCTCATTTATATGTTTCCTTCCCCGTCCTCCTCCTCGTCCTTTTCCTCCTCGTCCTCCTCCTCCTCCTCCTCCTCCTCCTCCTCCTCCTCCTCCTCCTCCTCCCCTTTCCTTCCATCGCAGCCCTTCCCTCCCCCCCCTCCCCCCCCTCTAGCCCCGCGTCGAAGGCGCTCCGAGGTCTCGGCATCGGTCTGCATGCCAAGGCGACCGAGTCCCCCTTGGCCCCATGTGCCCTGCGCGCGGTGAACGACGGGTCACGCATCGATGCCCGATTCAGTGGGAAGACCACTGACCAGTGCAATGGGAAGGATGGGAGGGAGGGGTCGGACGTCAGACGTGGCGCGAGCGCACCCAGCTTGTCTTCCCCCCGCTCCCCCTCCTCCCTCCTCCCCCCCTCCCTCCTCCTCCCTCCTCCTCCCTTCGTCCTCCCTCCTACCACCATCCCTCCTCCTCCCTATCCTTCCTCCCTCTCCCTCCTCCCTCCTCTCTCCTCCCCCCTCCCTCCCTTCTCCACCCTCCTTCGCAACTGCTCAATACGTATTCTACTTTGCTCTCTGCAAGGACACAGCCCGAGCGGGGTCGCTTTTCTCCCGCATATCGTGTCTTGACGTATAGGTATTCGCCCAGTGATTGTCACATGTTTTCTTCAGTCGGGAACGCTTCCGGCATTTCAAGACCGTGTTTCCGCGGCAGCGTTGGTCTCATTTGCGGATCGACGCTGTGCTCCCGTGTTTCAGAATAGAGGATAGCGCTCTCGCCCCAGCACGGCCACAACTCCGGATCCGAGTCATTCCTCGTCGTTGCCGCCCCGCTCCTTTCCCATCCTCTGCTCTCCTCTGGTCCTCCTGCTCCTCCCTCTCCTGGTACTCCTGTGGGTTTCCATGTCCACTCCGGCACCCGCGTCGGCGGATGTTGGAAAGCCAGCGCAGGGGGAAGGGATGGGTCGGAGAGGTATTTAGGATGCCAGATATGGCGCGAGCGCACCCAGCTTGTCATCCTCCCCTCTCTCTCCCCATCCCTCCTCCTCTTCCTCCTCTTCCTGCTCCTCCTCCTCCTCCTTCTCCTTCTCCTCCTCCTCCTCCTCCTTCTCCCCCTCCTCCTTCTCCTCCTTCTCCTCCTCCTCCTCCTCCTCCTCCTCCTCCTCCGCCTCCCTCTCCGCCACTTCGCGGGATGGCGCCCCCACCAGCTCGCAGGGGGCGCCGTTTAGCGAGCGTCCAATCGAATCCACGATGCCTAGCTGCGTGCGCTGGCAGGTATGCATCCTGCGGCCTTTTCATCGCGCACCCAATAAGAAGACGCCCCCCCCCCACGATCGACGACAGAGCATGGCTTCCAGGATCCCAGGCTGGCATCCCTCCTGCCTCCTCCGGGGAACCCGCCTCCAGCCAGGGCTCCCATCGGGCCCGCGATCGGAGCGGCGAGATGGTCGTGGTCCTGCCGGCTGTGGTGGTCGCGGTCGTTGTCATGGTCGTCGTGGTAGTGGTCGTGGTCGTGGTACTCGTGGTCGTAGCGGTAGTGGTGGTCCTCATCTCTTCTCTCCATCTCGCTCTCTCCCTCCCTCCCTCTTTCCCCCTGGGGCTCCCCTCCTCCTCCCCCTCCTGCTCCTCCTCCTTCTCCTCCTCCTCCTCCTCCTCCTCTTCCTCCGCCTACCTTCTCCTCCTCCTCTTCCTTCTCCTCCTCCTCCTCCTCCTCCTCCTCCTCCTCCTCCTCCCATGTTCTCGCGTTCCTCCTCCTCCTCCTCCTCCTCCTCGTCCCTCCCGTTTCCTCCCTGATCCTTCCTCGGGGCGACGAGAAGGATAAGGAGGGCTGGAGGATATGGGGGATATCATGGAGCATCCAGTGCGTGCATCAAACGACCCAGATTGGGGGAGGAGGGGGTGAGGGGGACTGGGAGAGACGAAAAGGGACGGGGGAGGGTAGATGGAGGGACGAGGGATTGGCGGAGGGAAGAGGGGAAACGAAGGAGGGATGGAGGGTGGGATGGAGGGAGGGAGGGCGGTATATATATATATATATATACATATATTGCAGCAATCACTGATGTCTCTTTGCGGCATGAGTCGTGGCCAGGTCTTTTCGATCCATCGCCCATTGTGCTCAAGTTTTTTCTGCTGAACAGTTCAGCAGCGCAGGCTCGCGTGGGCCTTCTCCTAACTCTCGACCGCCCACTTCATATACCCTCTCACCAGGGGCGGGATCGGGCCGACCTCGTGAGAGTGGACCTGTCACGCTCCGCCCGCCGCTGCGGAGATCTGCGAGCCCGTGTTAGACTTCGTTGGGCACGTTGTCGTGGGCCCCTTCTGCAGCGGTGGCGGCCGCCCAGTCTGCCCGTGCCAAGCGTCACCCCTTGCAGGCTCGCCAAGCGGCGGGCGGGCGGTGGGTCTGGAGTTCGCGGTGAAGCTCAGCTTCCTGAGTCTGCTCTCGGCTACGTGCTTGAGAGGTGCGGTGGACGTCGCCAGGCGACGGAGTCGTCCACTCCTGCTGCCTCCCCGGGACCAGCGTCTCGTGAGTGGGTGGAGGCATGGCGGCTGTCAATCGGACTTTAGATGTGGATGAGCTGCAGATACTCGTCCACTACGAGGACGATGCTGCTGGGCTGCACTACCACCATCGTGTCTTGTTCACAAAGGTGGCCGCAGGTCGCTGGATCATAGGGACCCCCCGACGGTGACGTCTATGAAGAGGACTTCGATGGGGTTGAGGTGCGACCGCTGGCACGGAATGGAGCTTTCCCAGTGGACCTAGCAGGCATGATGTACGTGTTTCGAGGCCCACAGCGGCCTCTGCTCGGATCGCCACCATGCGAGAGCAGGCGCGAGGAATCGCGGAGGTGCTGGGCGTGGCTCCTGCACCGGGCGCTGGCCGGGTTGCAGGCTCTAGTTGGCGTGTGGCAGATCCTTCATCGGCTGAGTTCGATCAGGTCATCACTGCTGCCGGGCTCGCCGACTCGACCGAGGATCGCGACGACGGTATCAAGGTTCAGCGGTTGGCACTCATCAGCGGCGTCACCCAGCTGGTCGAGTTAGTGAAGGACACAGACCACGACGCCTGGTTCGCTCGGAAGCGGCCTGGGCTGCCTGGAGGAGCTTCAGGAGATCTGCGGCTGCTCGGCCATTTTTCGAACTCTGCGCAGAGACGAGTGCTGCCGCTGGCGAGGGCGATGGAGCTTGTGACGCCTAAGACGTTCGCTGGCTGGCCTCATCCTGGGCCGAAGACGGCCCAGGAGTTCCTCGAGTCGGTGCTCGAGAACGGCGGGGACTTGCAGGTGTGGCTCAACGCTTTCATGCGCAAGTCTGGGGTCAGCGAAAACTCTTCGGTGGCGCATGAGCTCCGAAACCTGGTCCAGATTGTGAGGCTCGGGATCAGCTACGACCAGATCGATCCGACCAACCTGGCTTGCATCGAGCAGGCCGTGCGCAGGATTCACGAGATTCAGCAGGCCATCCGTCGGAACCCGAAGCACCCGGACTTCACGGGCCTCGACATCGGCACTATCGGGTCTTGCGACGAGATCGGCGGAGCCCGCCTGCACAGTTTCGATTCCCGGCTCAGCAGCAAGCAGAAGGAGGAGGCCAAGACGATGGAGGCCCAGAGGAAGTGGCGCGAGGAGCTGGCCGCCGAGCGTCGACGATCTGACAATCGAGATGGGCCTCCAAATCCCAAGGCTAAGGCGAAAGCAAAGGCCTCTCCTGCTGGCCAGCAGGAGGGGCAAGCATCATGGCCGTCACGGCTCCGGGAGGCAAGGATGAGACACTTCCCTGCCGAGCCTCCCGTGTACTAAATGGGGATTTTTGGAAAAAGGAGGCGGGCCTAAGCATGGTGATCCGTTCCCGCTGCCAGTACCTCGTATTGCTGGTCGCTGTGATCGTGGGCCCCCTCCACACCGCGAAGCGCCTGGTTTGACTGTTCGAAGAAGCAGACAGCTCAGAGTCGCCGAAGCGGTGCGCAGTCTTAACACCTTGGCTGCCTCTACTGCCTCCTCGATACGCTCTGGAGGTGCTTGGTTTGGGACCTCATCTCCGCCGCGCTTCTCTTCCACCCAGACTGCTGTGATGAATCGAGTTCGAGACGTCGTTGGTAGTTAT